GAAAAGAAATTTCTTCGCGAATCCTGTTTTTTTATCGCATCTGTATGTATGCTGTTTAGCTTTTGATTGCTTTTGTCTAATACCGAGCAAACTGTCATCTATCCATTTTTTAAGTTTATTTACCGAGTGCAAACAAATTGGTCACCTCTTCTTAGCCCCACGATTCTATGCTTCTGACTCATTGATTTGGGCCGAATTGGCCAGACTTGATCGAAACAATATTTCGCTTCTCGTATCATTCATAGCGGGAGCCCAGTGAGGGAGGGATGACCGCATGCATATCCAAGGTCATTGAGGCTGTGACCGAGCGGTTTAGGTCACCAGTTTATCCTCCTTAAGGTTATGTTTGAATCACACCACCACTACCACCGCAATCTCACCTCTTCCATCTCGCTTTAGTACATGGGGTTAGTCGCTTCATTCGTTTCCGAAAATTTTTCATGCATTCCATAAAATGAGCTGAAACCAAAAGTAACAACAATAACGGATGACGTGAACAGGAGGATAACAAGACGGATATAGCGATTGGACAGACAGCGTGGGTGGCGCCTGGTTTCCCGAGTTGAGGTTTAAAAGTTTATATATATCACACGTTGGAGCTCAGACTGTGTGCCAAACAAATCACGGTGAAATAGAATCATCCTTATAAAAAGGAAAGAAGTTGCATGATTTGTTAGTAAGTTCATTACTGCCAGGTTGCCCGAACCAAGGCAAGTGAATTATCATGAGGAATCCACAATCGGATCCTTCGGCTAGCGAAAGCCTGAACCGCAAGGCAGTGGGCTGGTATGTGAGAAGTGCAGTCCATTTGAAGCCAATGCTCAGTTCACTTGATCATACGCCCTTCGGACAGGGTTAAGTGTTCAAGCTGCCCAGTGTACTTCGATACCCAATCGAGCCGGCGACCACTGCCACAACCAAGAAGGTGTAAGTGAGTGTGGTTCGTACACCTCTTCTTGGTTTGTTTGGAATTAGGGTTTTTAGCCAACTCCCGTTGGTGAGCTGTCAGTGGTCCACTGACCCGGTTATAGCCCCAGCTGTTGGCATTCATCGTCTCACTTTGGTGGGAAAATACCTCCGCCACGAGAAGGCAGTGTGTAGGCCGCTTGACACGCTAAGTCGTATAGAAAGAACCATTTCATGGGATGTACGGGAAAGGTGATGAACGATAACCCGAGCATGCTTAACCTTTAGGCGATGGGGTTCAAAAGACTGTGTAACGGGTTGGTTGGAGACACTGAATGATATGGTAACTTACTAACCGCAGTGGGATTCTTGTTGCCGGTTTTCATCAGGTCAGAATGTTAGTGGGTATACACACGTAGATTGTGAACTCTATGTGTTGATCATAATGATTCACTTTCCTTTTCCCCCTTCCTCTGGATGGATCCGCGCCCCGTCAATCTTGCGTATTTGGGATTCACTTAATCTCCATTGTGAACTTGATAGCACGCAGCGAAGTTCGCCTCAATGTAATTCGCTATACAGTGATAAAAATGAGTGCGACGTCCTACCACATCTTCATTTGTCAAAAAGTTGATGGGAGTTGGAGCGATCAGTCAGGGTGAATTTCGGATAGTCTTGATTAACCGAGTGTGTGCGGGCTGGAACCAACGTGCTGTCCACCTACTTGTTCGTTTATAGCCATGTTAGATTTTTGTGGTTCTCCGCGGATTGTAATATTCCCGCATTTGTGAAGTTCCCCAAATGCATTTTCTCGGTACCCGATGTTCTCACAAATTCGTCTGCAGTCACTCGCTCCATTCTGTATACCGCTCAGAACTATGGGCTGAGCAATGTCATGGATCTGTTCACGGGTTGCAACTGGATAACCCATATCTTCTCGTTATTATCTTTGTTATCGTACTAGGACTCCACTGACCCAAAAGCTGTAGATTATCTTCCTTGAGTGGTAATAAGTTTTCTAGACTAGCAGATTCACACCTTGTGCTGTGTATGCATTGAAATGTTGCCCACTGTATCATAACCCTGGAGGTTACTGTTAAGATGAGCAAGGTGAAATGTTTACCTAGGGGGATTGTGCTATATCGTTTGTGGCCAAAATGAGACAATCTGGTTCACTACCCAGTGGTCAATTCGGAAGGATGCTGTCTCTGTGTTTGTGAGGCCTCGCGTTCCCCAGCATCAGTTGGCTGGACGGTTTCACACTGCCGATAATAATTCAATAAGGTCGAAACAGCTGTCTTCGACTATGCATTTCCAATTACCGTCGATTTATGTATGGTAAAATGAATCATACAGTTTAAAATTGGGGAAAATGAGGCAGTGTGTGTGTGAATAAATCAATTTTGCCGTTAGGTGTACCATATCTCATTTAATGGAGTAGTTTAAATGAGATAAAGGGGACTGGGGGTGAGGTTGAACAAGATACACGTGTTTTGGTTCTTACAGAGGATAATGCCATGCACAGTCGTATCCTTTTCGGGATGGGACTGAGATAAATGTGAATCTTATTTCGTCAGTTTTTCCAATCACTAATGCACCACCGATTTGAAATAGATGTGATTGTTTCGATTAGGTGAGTGACACCTGAAGTTCTGACAATCCGTGTTCATTCATAGGGCTTGATATCCTTGTTCGTCTATAGATATGTTTATGCTCAGAAACCTGTAAATTGCGGTCATCAGTTGTTGGTTATCAGTTCCGTGAATGCGATTGCCTTTCCTGTAATCCATGGGTCCCTAAGATTTGCTTCCCTGAAAACTTTCTCTACAGAACGCGCTCTGGACAGATTGTCGGGGAACAATAATCGATACTGTTCGAGCTTCCTTGCAGCGTCACTGTAATTGCCTTCTGTTTCCCAAGGTTTGCACCTATATCGGTGCATTTAAACGTACAGTCTGTGCTCCATTTCCATTCAAGCAAGCCTCTTTAGCGTTTCACAGGGTAGATAATATCAACAGATTGTATATTAAGAATGCGGTGCTTGGCGATGGCCATTGTCGCGGATACCTGAGCTTTGTAGGCTACTTTGCGTGTGTGAGGGAGAGGCGGGGGCGCATGAGTNATTTTGCCCGACGCTCCACCAGTGGTACGTCTCTTCTAACCTGGTTGACTACTCTTGGCCCCGGACTGCTCAAACGCATGGATCGGTCCTCGAAACTGAATCCCCTCGCGGAAGAAGTTGACCTCATCAATTGCAATCCGCATTACGCCCTAGTGAAATTTCCTAATGGAAGAACAGATAATGTCTTCATTCATTGTTTGCCCCCCCACCCCCACCCCCACCCCCCCGGGGTGACCCACCGATATCGACACCCGAACTCCTAGCACCAACAGACCCTCCCTCCGCACCGTTTCACATTGTCCCTTCGACAGGATCCGACACCTTAACCGAATCTCGTAGTCTCAATGAAGAATGCACCCCTCCACCGACAACACTCACACCCCACTCATATACCGATATACTAACAACAACAGAGAACACGCCCTTACAATCCAAGAAGTAGAGAAGCGTGAAACAGAACTTACAACTTAGTGTTTTTCCCAATACGAAACATATTCGAAGTGTTTTACCTTCAATAAACGGTCGTTTTCCAACCAGGGTGAATATC